GAGTGAGCGCAGGAGGAGGGAAACGTGCAGGACTGGGGATTGGCTTAGACGTGTGGGAACAAAGGACTAACATCAGGCCTGGGGTCTTTCTTCCTATAAAGACAATGTTGGCTTATTCTTCTCCTAGTGTGTGTGTGTGTGTGTGTGTGTGCTGTTTTTCTGGGAAACCTCCTGGGTTACAACAAAGTGGAGGTTGGCAGCCTTTTAAGGTCACATTATTGACAGGAAAACTATCCTGACCTATAAAGTGCGTTTGGTTAGGAAGGCTTTACACAGAGCTGAAATGGCACAGGGAGGCATAGGTACCGTATTCACAGGGGGGCTGGGACTGGTATGTTCAGATATGTCTCTTTTGGTTCCCTGGAAGCTGCTGCTCATAACCTTTACAAGGTAAGCAGATAAGCCACAGGTTTATGTCCCCTGGGTAGTTTCACACACATATTCACCTAGTCTGGTTCCTTAAACAGCTGAGATAATGGGGATAATGTACCTCCTGGACCACTGTAAGGGCCACCTCCAAGAGCGCACCTGAGCCAGCCATCCAGTGCTGTGTCCCCTGTCCTGAAACTCCCAGCTAAGCTAAGTGAACCTGGCAGTTTATGTCCTATGAGGCTGTGTGCATGCCATGGGTGGTCCAGTCTGGAAACCACTCCTGGTGGTCAGTCAGAGGGAGCATCGCAGAGTGCTAGCAGAGTGATGCTCCTTCTTCAACCTGGACTCAGCATGGCCCGGTGCTCGTAGTCCAGGCTCGGGAGCTCTGTAGCTACTCTAGGCAAATGGGGCCGTGAAGCAATAAACATGTCTTGATGGTTGTCAGCGTTTGATGGGAAAAGAAAGACCGCCAGTATGAAACAAACAATAAGTTTCCCTTTACTCTGCAAAAGGGAGGGAGAAGCTATAAAGCTGCCCAGAGATAAATGTAGACCTGCTGAAACTCCACACTTACGCCATGTTCATCATGCATGAAGAACACTTGATACAGAAGGAGGCTGAAGGTGAACTGTAAATGCAACCCAGATGAAGGTACAGAAACTGAAAATAGCCAAGAGGCCGTGTGCAGTTTGCCAAAGGTGGCAAAGATCTAGCTAATGAGTAACAAGATGAGAGGTAGACATTATATCAGATCATGACTCAAGCTGTTGTCCAAATATGGTGGTGGGCCTCTGTTTATTTCTCATCCCATTCAGGATCCAACCAATGCTGAGATGAGCCAAGAACCTACGGAGGAGGGAGAACAGAGTCTGGATTCTGCCATGGGGTTGCAGAATTTATTTTCCCTGCAGGGCTCCAAGGAGCTACTGTGAAAGCAGCTGCAGCACAACACACACAGAAGGAACAGGTCCTCACACATGAAGGATGACCCCCCCCCCACTACCTAAGCAGTGACCCAAGGGCTCCCCAGCAGTCAGGGAGGTGGACGTGGGAACGTGAGTGGCATCTGTCTGATGAAACATCAGGTCACATGGCTGCCATGGTGTCAGCAAGCTTTTCTTCTGACATCTGAGCTCATGTGATTGCAAACTCAATATATCGCAGAGACAACTCCTAAACAAGCTTAAAGGACTTAAAAAGACAATTATTATGTAAAAGTCCACAAAGTAAGTTCATGGAAAGAACTTTCTTCTCTTGTGACTGTAGTAAAACAGGTTGTCTAATCACGATAAAGCCACAACTCATGGATGGTATAAGAGAAAACGTTCCTTTTCCCAAATAGAATCAGAAAGGGAAGTCGTGCAATGTTTTACCTTCTAGGCAGTCATCTAATTTTGTTTCACATAAACTCCTGACAACACTAGTAAAATGAAACGTGAAGCAGTAAAGTAATAAATCAGTTCTAAAGTCCTGTAATAATTGGCCTGACTAAAGTGCACTGTGCGAGTTCAAAAGACAACTGTCTAACACCGACTGATGCTGAGAAGGGGTCAAGGAATTCACAGCCAAGGGATCATCTGCAGAGTAATCCTTGATGAAGGAAGGTTTGGTCAGATCAGGGGAAGTCGTGGTGAGAAGAGAGATTTGGCCGAGTTAGGTGGGTGCAGCTGTTCTGCCCATAGAACGGAGGAGGGGGAGGAAACACAGAGGCTTCTCTCACATCCTTCCCTTTTGAGTCTCATGATGTTGTTATAATTCTGTTTCTTCTGACATCTTTGTATATCATCAACCCCAGTCAGGTAACTCCTTTGGTTTATTAAAAGTTAGAACAGACGTCCCTTCTGGATGTTCTTCCTAAGTGCCTCTCTTGCTCCCGACCTCTCAGCTGAGCTCTGTTTCTGGGTGACAGTTATGGCTCAGGCAGAGGGGTGAGCAGGTTAGCGACTAAGGAAGTGCAGTGGTTCCCTGGGTCTGGAGGAGAGAACACAGAGAGGCTCAGAGCCTGCCAGCTGTCACAGCACCAGGCTCCTGAGCACAGACAGGCCGAGGTCATGAGAATTTCTCCAGAGTCAGGCAGAAACACTACACT